TCCCTCCCTTTCTCTCTCTTCTCTCTCTCCCTCCCTCTCTCCCTCTTTCTCTCTCTCCCTCCCTCTCTCCTTCCCCGTTTCTTTTCTCCTCAGTTTTCAAACGGGTCCACTATTGCTGATCTTGCCAGCTGCTGTGTTCCCAGTATTTCCTGCTCTACACACCTTTCTTTTTCTGGAGCAAACGGTTTGATCAGCATTTTTAACCCGTAGTTAGTTTTCACTGTATATTCACATCCTCCTCTGTCTGGACTCTTTGGAAATTCACGTTCAACAACACAGCGAGCACAGGTAAAGGCAACACTTGCGTTTTGCCTCAGTCTGTGTCAATTAGTCTGATTGCTTGTAAGAACGCGAATGCTGCTTGGATCCCAAGGCAGACTTATTAAATCAGTGGCTTCAGACTTTAAGGAATCGTACATAACTTCAAAGATTAAAAAGCTGGTATAAGCAGCCATTGCATGTTTCCTTGTTTCCATATGCACGTGAAAAACTCGTTTTTATTCCAATAGTTTATCCAACCCGATTGCCAGCCATTCTTTTAGATGTTTGTTGAATGATTTGAGGTTTCGTTTTGAAAATACAGATTCTATTATTTAAGAGGGGAATATCTATACAGGGTTGGATTTATTTAGACAAATTATTGGGCTGGTTATCTGCTTTGAGATCTTCAGCAAATTGACAATTAGAATTCTGGGCCAGGGATTTCAGGAGAAAATGGCCAGTAGTATTCAGCATGCTAAGTGGTGTATTGAAAATAAAAGTAGGATGAAATTTGCCCCTTGGAGTTCCTTGGTTCAAACTCACTGTAAGCATGTTAAAACTGTGATTCAGATAACACACAGATTTAGTGTCATGTAAATGCTTGGTTTACGGGAGTCCAAAAAGCAATTTTCATTTTTTCTTAAAGGACGGCTTAGAAATTGTGAGTTTGTTTTAGTAAACAGAATAGTCTACTAAACAACACAAAATATCTTGTGTTCAAAAAACAGCCACATGATGGCAAAGAGTAAAACGTACAACCCAGAAAGGGAGCAGACAATAAAAGGAATGCAGTCAGCCCCAATCAGCAAGTCAGACCTCTGAAGATCTACTAAAACTCCCAGGCACATTAGGTTTTCATTACCGAAATAGCTCCTCAGAGTGCCTCCTGTTCATGTTCAGAAATGAAGACAATCAGTATGTGGGAAACATCATTTGCCTTGCTCTAAGTATTTTATGCTTATCAAACAACAACAGACATTTGCTTCCTGCTTGCCCCCACTCCTGGGGCACTAACTGTGGCACTTTGGTGGGTTCTGGTTTGACATGCAAGACCAGAATGTTTGGAAATGATCTTTACTGCCCCCTCTGATAACTGGTCTTCAGGAGTGTTGTAGGTCAATGGACAGTTGCTTCTTTTGTCCAAATGGGCCTCTGTCCACAAGGCATGCTTTTGTAGAAAACAAGTCCTAATTGTTACAGCTTCCAGTGAGCTCAAGCTCTCATACATTTAGTTCTACTTTGTAGGGGGAGAGAACTCAGAATGTGGCAGGGTTGGGCTTTTGTTGTTGTTATTGTTTGGTTTTAAGTTTCATTATGATTTACAACTTTAAACCAAAGTAAGAAATTGTATTATCAGTTTTCAACCAAATAGCAGAGTAAGGAAATTGCAATCAAAATTAAATCTAAGTAAATTCAAGGAGAATGTCCAGGGAAATACATTATCTAAACAGCATAAACTTGAGGTCTAACTTATATTTTTCATGAATTAAACCTCTAATGTGTTCTGTGGGCCACTGGGATATGCTTACATAATACATAATTCCTTCTAAATCACACCGATAGAGCAGCATATATTGTATATTTTTTAAGTTTGCTTATAATTTTATTTTATAGGGGTGCTATTTTTTAATCCCTACTTGTGTTGGTTACACAACATCATAGAAGCTTGAACTGAACAATCATGCCACTACTTTATGGTAGGAAAGGGGAAATAGGTGGTTGATAGATTGAGGAGTCATATTCCCCAAAGTTCATGTTAGATAGAGTCTTTATAAAGTAAGGGCCCCCAAACATGGGCATATCATTAAGTTGCTATTTGGGGAAAAGCAAATTGGAAGCACTAGAAAGTTCTTCCTTTATCAATAGTTGAAAGTGAAAAGTATTCACACACACACACACACACACATTCACACACATGTATACACACATACATTCACACATACATTCACACACATACACACATGCATACATATAAACACGATAATCGTACGCGCGTGCGCATGCACACACATGTAGATACCTGCCAAGAGAGAAAATGATAAAGGGAAATTGCTAAATTGGGTTTAAAATGCAGAAATGTTATATTTTAATAACTGGAAAATTTACCTAAGAGTGAAAGTTCAATATTTTGTTAAAAAATTAACCAAATGTATAATAAAATTCCCATGGTAATTATTTGTGAGACCTAGGCTAAGAGTAAATTGACCTCAACTCTTTGCCTAGGTAGAAATCAGATCCTGAATCCCCATCCCTCCCCAGATCTTAGTGCAGAAAGACAAAGGGAAAATGGTCCCTCCGCACTGCAGCCAAGGTCCATTCACTGTCCACCTGGGGGAGACTAAAGAACCTGCTGGTTTCCTTTGAAATATTGATAAAAAAGGAATTGTATTTCCTAACGTGACTTAGAAACAACTGGTTTAGGAAACCAGTTCTAATGTACCAGAAACATTGACTATGAGGATCAGAATTTTGGGGTGTTGCCATAAATACTTGCCTACTGATTAAGTCTCTTAGTTCTTGTCATAGTGTTTTATGGGATCAATAAATGTAGAATGAGTTTTGCCATGACAGGATGTGCTAGTAGATTAAAGAATACACGAACTTGTTTGTATTATAAAGGTCTTGGAATTTAGAGGCTGTCATGAGTCTTATGTGTAATCTTTGCTGACATCATCCCAGTGCCTTCAGTTAATGTTCCCTAACCAAGTGTGTTCAGCATCCAATGGGTTAATACAGTTCCAAACTACATAAAGTGATATACCTGGGTCAGAGAAGAAATTCTGGCATTGGAAGAAAATGATCTGTTAAATGTGCCTTTAGTTATTCCTTAGTGCACCTGGGGACTTAGAGGACCCAGTCTTTCTCTGATGCTGTTCAGGAATACACAGTCACCAAAGTTAAAATAGTATCTAGTTTCTCTTTTTAAGATCTTTTATTTTATGTGTACGAGTATTTCTCTTCCATATATGTATATATTCTACATGTGTACCTGGTGCTTGTGCAGATCAGAAAAGGGCACTGGAACCTTGGTCGTGGAGTTACAGGTGGTTGTGGTAGCTGGGAACTGTGCCTTGATCTTCTGCAAGAGGAAATGAAGCCCATAAGCACCAAATCATTTCCCCAGCCCCTCTTGCAGAAAACTCTTATCATTAGGTGCATTTGCAAAGCTTTATGGGAGTGAAGTTACATTGCCACACTAAATAATGGGGGATGTGTGTCTTTTAAATCAGGGCCAATCAGAACACAGCCTGCCACATGCTCAAGGAACTCTAACTCTTGGTTTTTGTCCTTTGCCTTCTACAGCTCTGTATTTAGGAATCTGAAAAGGACCCAAATTTAACTGTGCATCTCTGTCCCATGTGTTCTGCGTTTATGTTGTAAGCCAGAGAATAACTGTGCACTTCAGTATTTTTTGTGCCTACAGACATGTGAAAAAATGCTGGTATTTCTTTATTGTATATACTGCAAGTTGAATAGCAGTTGGGATTAGCTTTTATGACATATAAACAGCTGGATGTCTTAAGTGCAATACAAGTTTACAGATGCATAATTGTGTCCTTATGACCTTTACTAATCACACAGAAATTTAGAGATGAATATATCTATGCACACCTCACTATAGGAATTATATTCTGAACTGGATAATTACAAATGTCTGTTCTTGGCATAGGGTTGCAAAAGACATTTACATCTCCATTGGAAATATTTTATTTGTGTCACATAAAAAAAATCAAGGATTTTAATGTTGAAAGCAAACTTGTCTTGGGTGGTAGAATGCTTTTGCTGAATGTGACCTCCTACCCAGGCAGGACTGTATGCGCACACTGTGTGCCTGTGATTGATTTGGGATTTGGATTTCTGATTTGGCTGAGAGATGTGTAAAAACCCCAAGTAGTCAGCAGCTCCTTATTGGCTGTGCATCCAAGGGTCTCAAGAGCATTGTTTATTCCAGCAAGTGTCTGGAATACATTACACTCCATAAGTTGGCTTCTGCTACTCCTGTTTTGGAGAATATGAAAACTTTATATATTGTGCTAAAAGCAATGTGCTTTGCTGGAATAATTTTCCTTAAGAAAGAATCCTCAACGAGACTCTATCTTCTGAATCTAGTACAGCTAATATGTTAAGCATGTGGCATTCCTGAAAAAGCAATAGTGAAATAATTCTCCACACCTTCAAATTCAAAACTTGATCCAAAACTTAGATTTTTTTTTAATCCCCAAACAGTATGAAACCAGGTTTCCACAAATTAAAATAAATACATTTGGATTGTGACACCCTCTATATTTTTAAGAAATACCAAGGAAGAGAAGGATTAAAAGAGTTATTGTACTAATCCATAAAGTTTTTAAAATTAATTTACTTCCAAATTACAGGGATTGGTCCTTTAAAAACATGTTTAAAGCAAATGCCTACAGTCTTTCACAAGAGAATATTCAGTTGTCTTTAGTGAGTTCTTATCAAACACTTGGCTTGGTAATTGTTGCTCCTCCTTAAATAAAAACTCTGGATGGCTTAATTTAAGAGGCTCTGCAGTCACTTTTTGCAACGGGAATTCTTTATACTCATGAGTGGGTAGAAATGAGAAGAAATGGCTTAAAAAATGGTAAAGTTATCCTCGTGAACTGGGTTCTCTGGCAAATCCTTATGTCTAAACAATGTGGAGGGCCTTACTGGTTCAACATAAGTTATCATTGGATTGCCTTCTATAGTCTATTATGTTCTGTTTTGGAAAGTTCCTAAATCTGCATACATGTAAGCATCCAACAGTTTAGGATAAAAAAAATAAAAAACAAACGAGAAAAACAGCCTTTACTTAGATTTCTGTTTCCTGTGTGTTGTCTGGCCCTATCTCCGCATCTCTAATCTGTGGTCTCTGAAGGTGAGGGATTAGTTCTCATTGTTCTGAGTCTGAGTGGTGTCTAACATGGTCAATAGGCACTCACTTGGTGACCGACAGAAACAGCGGTAAAGCCTGTGAGCCTAGATGGTTCCGAAAGACTGTACAATAATACCTGCATTCATACGCGCACCCCCCCCCCCACTTACATCATCTCGTTTGAGGGGGGTAACTGAGTTGAGGTCGGGGAGGGATTTCATTTGATAGAGAAGAGCCAGCGTTTTGATGATCCCTGAGAAGTGATGAGTCCTTACAAGATCAAGTCATCACAGTATTGGGGTATCTTTCACTGCTCTGCATTGGGCTCCCTAATCATTTAAGCGGAAGTTCCAGAAAGGAGCATATCTAATTACTGCTTCATAATGGCGGTTTCACCAATGCAGAAAGGCTTTACAGGTCGGCTAGATTCTCCCTAGTCCGCCTTCAGAGGTACAGCAGGGCTGCAGAAATGCAGATCAAGGCAAGCTTGTTCCTTGACGCCAAGAGAGTTAAATAACAGAAAAGCAGAAAGGATAATGGATCGGTCCTGGCCATTTGATTCCAGCTTTTCTGCCTCCATCTCTCTGTCTCTGAGAAGTTGGAGTTCATACCTTTAAAATCATATTTAAAAGTAGTTGACTCATCCTGGATGTTGTAATGTTTTAGGCTGACTTAATACCCTTTTATATTCTAGCTCCCTCACCACCTGCACCTCTAAATCTCCAAGTCATTTCACCCACCGTTCAGGTCAGCACTCCCTGTTAGCTCTCCCTTGACCACCAAGGGGCCCCTGCCCTGGCTTTGTGTATCTGAGGCCTCAGGGTTCTAGGGACAGTCTGTAGGAGAGTGGCCTCGGGCACCTAGGCCTAAGAAAGTTGGGCTCCGGGGAGGGGCCTGGCACCCTCAAAACTGAAGGTGCTGGAGAGAGGGTTCCCCTTGCCAAGGCTGGCCCTGGTGTTCAAGCAGAGCGCGCTGGCACGGCAGGTTTTTAAAGGGAGAAAAAGCCACCAAAGGGCTGGAGTTTCTGGAAGCCAGGGCTGGGGTTTGCACTCCTCACCGAGCCAGAGCAGGTTTGGCGCTGCCCTGGTCTCTCCGTTACCCATTTTCGGTTTGCCTTTGGTAGAACCGGCTCCTGAGCCCCGCCCGGCGAGGTGGTAGGGGGGTAGATCCCCCAGCGGTCCCCCGTCGCTGGCCACCTTCCCCTCGCTCCCTCCCTCCACCTTGGCACCGTGGTGGCCCCCAGCCCCGGCCTGCGGGTCGCCAACTTTGGCTTCCAGTCCAGCGGCGGTGACGCGGAGACTTAGATCTTTTCCCCGGGCTGGCGGCAGCATCCCGGAGCCCGGGGTGGCTGTTGCCCACGGCCCCCAGGACGTGGAGGGCACTACCCGCTCCCTTGGCCATCTCCAGGACCTCACCAGGTATGCGGAACCACCCCAGAGATGAGGGGCGACGGAAACCCTCCCCCCACCCACTGGTACCTTGCTGCTGTCGCCCTCTGGCAGGAGAGAGGGAACGGGACTGGTTAGTTTCCTTTGCGGAGGGGAGGTGGTAACTGACTGCCCCCCCCCCCCACACACACACCCCTCTGGGCTGTGGAGTCATCCTGGCCTTTGATGGGACTGTCTCTTAGACAAGTGTTTGAGCTGAAAGTTCCCTTAGTGGGGGACAGTCAGGGCAAGCAGATACACATTTTTAACCCCCTTTCATCTTCCTGGGTGCCTTCCTTCGGCCAACCGTGTTTTTGTTGGTCCAAATAAGGGGCGAGTTTAAAAGAAATAGCAGATGAATTGGAGGCATTGACAATATTGATGAAGTATCCACTCAATTAATAATTCTGGAATCAAGGGGGAGGGAAGCAAATTTTCCATTTTACTTTTCATGAAGGTGGGGGCGGTTGGGTAAAATAATACACAGGCATAAACAATCCCCGTTGTCTTCTTTATCTTAATTAACGTCCATCCTACATTTCGTTCTGTCAGCTAACTAAATAGAGGAAATTCAAAAATTCAAGTCTTCCTTGGGGTGGGGGTGCATGTCAGGAGTGGTGGCACAGCCTGTAAGCCCAGCTCTTGGGAGATGGAGGCAGGAGGATCAGAAATACAAGGCCATCCTCAGATAAGGAGTCTAAGGTCAACCTGGGCTACATGAGACACTGTCACAAGCACTGTGTGGAAATGGGCTCCAGTCTGTGAGCAGGTATAAATTGATTATACATTCAATAGAACCTGAAGCCAGTGTCTGCAGAGCACAGAGGAGTACCCAGCAAGGGCAGGGACAGCATGGGAGTAGCAGTCTATGTTAGCTTGAGGGCCTCCTTTAGTTCTGTTCATTCCCATGCTCCCTACAAATCCTGTGGTTCTAGTTTGAATGGGTTCATTCAGAAAACACTGAGAAAAGTTCAGTGGTCCAGGATTCTTCTTGTGTGGATAAAAATGGTTTCTGCCCATTAGGAGCAATCTGCCTATATTGTGAGCCCAAGTGACTAATGCTCAAATGGCGAAGTATAAAACCCCCAAACCAAAATCCAGGGTCCCCCAAACCAAAATCCAGTGTTCAAGGTTTCCTGGTGGATTGGGCTGAATGATGAGTCTTTGATCTTACATGGGACTGTGGTTGAAAGGAGCATGGGCTTATGAGGGAGTGGGTGGCACCCTGGGGTATCTGGCAGTAGGCTGTTGTATAAGGAGAGCTGCAGATTAGTAGAAAAGGCCTAGGGCAGAGATGATTGGCTCTTAGCCAGAGTCAGATGAGGAAGAGTTTGTGGGTTAAGCCAAACCCAACTAAACCAGACCTGTCTCCTGGTTAGGAGGCAGTGCAATCTTACGTGTTTCACCCCTGGCAACACATGATAACCTGGAAAGAAGTCAGGAAAAGTGTACCTAAGAGAGGTTATAAAGCAATAACTATGAAAAATACAGTCATGCATTATTAAACTGCATAAAATACAGTTTAGCCAATGCAAAGTTAAACTTTACAATGTTGTACTAGTTATACTCTTAAAGTATCTAAATATCCTTAAGCAGTTGACGGACATGACCTGATAATTGTTGGATGGAAAAACTAGGAACAAATAAACATATTTGCATCAGTTTCATGATGATATTCTTTTCCATGGTCCTTCATTTACCTATACCTATTGAGCATGCCCTGTGTGTAGGACACATTCCTAATGCTCTGTGTTCTGTGAGATTATGTTAGTGTAGTTGCATTGATGACAAAACAATCATTCCATATATATATATATATATATATATATATATATATATATCCATATTTCTTAGAATATAGAGTTGATGAGTGCCAGGGTTACAGACACAAATCATTGCCCTCCTACTTCAAGACTTCTCTCTTACCCATAGATTCATGAAGATTGTTCTGCATTCTTCTTCATCATCATCCTGTCTATCTTGAAAGAAGAAAGCAAAAGCAAATATTTTTAGGCAGGCAGCTTTCACTAGGCTAGAGTGCATGGTGCATGCACATTGGCAAATCAATGGGACTCCAAATGACCCTAATGGATAGATAAGCAGAAGTTGACAAGATAGGACCTCCACAGAGATCTTTTCCCCCAGTGTAGAACAAAGGAACTGTGACTTGAAAACAGGCCATTGGTAGAAGCTTTGAGTGTCTCTCAGCTGAGTAAGTGCCAATGGTGGGCAGATCAAGAGGCCATTGATTAACATGTGTACTCTATTGAGACTTGCCAGAGAGTTCAGTAACTCATTGGAAAAGGTGTGTGTGGCTGCCTAAATAAGACCAGTGCAATGTTAAAACCAGCTGGTACTCCAGTGTGAATGGGGGAGATTTCAAAAGGCCACAACCCTAGCTGAAAAGTTTCAGGTGATCAATAGGTACTGAGAGAGGGGCAATCAGTTTTTTCCAGGAAGGAGCTCCCTAATCATTTAGGCTGATGTACACAAGCAACACTAAGTATACCATCTCCTCTCTCTCTCTCTCTCTCTCTCTCTCTCTCTCTCTCTCTCTATATATATATATATATATATATAAAAAAGACTATATATATATATATATATATATATATATATATACATTGTACATAAATATAAATTTGTATTTATTAAATGTTCATAGTAGTATATTAATACATTATATTTATCAATACATATTTATACCTATATTAATATATTTCCATTTATAGCAAATATATAGATAGAAACACATCCATATATAATATGGATGTATTTATATTTGTTTATCAGAATAATAATTAAAGAAAAAGAGTTCCTGAATTTGAGGGAGAGTGGAGAGGAACACAGTAGGACTGGAGGGGTCGAAGGAGGATTGGAAATGACAGAATACTCCTTATGAATTCCTCAAACATTTTTAATTGAAATAGAAGTACCATAAGGGATATGGTCTAATGAGGAGGTCTGTCAGGGGTTCCTGTTGGAATCTTCAAATGATTCAAAGACTGTTTTGGATGGAAGAATGTTGTATGTGGAGAAAATTTGACCCTAGAGAAGAAAGGTCTTGCTAGGCCCATCCCAGCTCTAGCAGGAAACTGGCTCCCTCCTTGGCCTGAATCGCCCCAGCTCTGCCCTGGGTGGCTTGATTACACTGGGGAATTACAATCCTGGGAAGTGTCCTCAGTGGAGCAGGTTGGCTATCTGCAGAGATTGTCTCAGGTGATTCCTGCCCTGCATGGAGGTTGGGATCCTCTGTGTCTGGATTCATCACGGCCCATACTGGGCATGTTTTTGTTGTTTGTTGTATCTGTTTTGTTTTGTTTTGTTTTCACAATTGGCTGCTTTCGTATGGAATCAGGAACAGGCAGGCTTCTTAAACCTTTTTAGCTTTGCTTTCCTCTAAGGCATCCTTTGGCTTTTAAGGAAAGAAAAACCCAGAAGAAACGCTGAGTCAGTGCCGCTTTCCGGACAGGTGATGTTTTCCCTGTCATTGTCCTTGGCTTTGCTGTTCTGAGTCACTGAGACTGCTGTCCTGCAGGCCTGCCCCACCAGACAATTCTTACTGAGGTGAAGAAACAGCGAAAAGGGAGAGTCAGCATCCAGGAAATGAGAAAACCACTTGGCTAAATATTACTGGGGATTGACTCAAATCTTTGGGGTGTTGTTGGAGGAGAGCAGGGAGGCAAGGATTCTCCAGATCTTCCTAAGCCTGAATATGTCCTGTACATGAATCAGAAGGCCTTGTGATGAATGTGTGTTGTGACCCTGGTATAAATCAGGCATTGAAGTCTGTGATTATACCCATGTGTGCAATACTAGTTTTGAATTTTAGCAGAAGATAAGAAATATCTGTCATAAGAGTATGAGAAATAATCATACTTTCTGAAGAAAAACTGTGATTTGATTCTTTCCTGCTGAACTTCCTGTGAGCAAAACACAAATAAGGCGGCT